ATGCAAATTTTAGCGTGGTGATATGGATAGAGATTTCAGCAAAGCCAGTATTCTTTACAGAAACAATTTCACGTTGAATCGGTCCTACCATAATTCACGTCGGCACTGGAGCGCACTATTGACCACTGTGGCGCGCAGTTGGACCGTAGCATGGGTCCGTTGGACAAAGTCCAACGCGACGACGAGAGTAATGCCGAGAGTGAACGTACGCACGGAGACACAGACGGCTCGCGGGTGGCGAGAGTGAATGCCGGCGCGGAGAACATCGGTCCAACGTCGCTCCAATATCGGTCCAACGTAACGGTTGACCCTGGTACGAAGCCCTAAACTGGGCTCAATTAAGGGCAATTCACAATACTCCCCGACTGCCCAGGGCGGCACTTCAAAATCGCGCACCGCAGGAGAGCAATGGCACTACTGCGGCTGAAGTGTCTCCCTGCTATACACCTGCTTCCTCCAGCTATGGTGCTCCGTCTACTTGACACTATTTTGTCGTCGTGGAGTGCGTAGAGAAAACAGCAAGAGGGCGCATAAAAAACAAGTCGGCGACACGTGACATTGCTCGCTCCAACGTCAAAGTGGATTACGGTGGGACTAATTCAACGTGCTGGGAGATTGTTTTAGTGTATTCGTTTATCTCAATATTCTATCTGCATACCCATAACTCAGTTTGAGAAAGATAAAATGCTTCGAGTATCTGTAATTTTTGGCAGCATGAATAACGGTCGAGGAATCCTCGACCATGGCTCTGTACTGTGTGAGAAGTGTTGAGAGTGAATGTAGCGCGGAGAGCACAGACGGCTCGCGGTGGCGAGAGTGAATATCCGCGCGGGAGAGCGTGACTGAACAGGCAAAAATCCTCGACGAGTCATCGACAAATCCTCGACCATTTTTCACCATAATTTTCGGCTCTCAAAGACAATGAAACAAATGAATCGCAAAGAAAAGCTACTCCTTTTTTCACACTCTTTAGTGGGGAAATTTTGAGCAGAAAATATTTATAAACTTCAGCGTTTAATTAAATTCTATTCAAACAATCAGAAAGCCATGTATTATTATGTAGGAGTGCTGATGAGCGTAGCGGCAACCTATAGAAAAATAGAACTAAGAATAATAAACAAGGAGTTCAATGGTCACGATCATTGCCAGCAATTGTTGCTGAGACCGCTCGACGTCCGACTATCAATGTAACGCGCTTGTCATGCTCGATCACTTGTTGATCGCATCTTGGAAGTTTCACCAGCTGGGTAGCCGTCTGTTTCTTTCTCTTCAACAGTTTCTCGCCGTTCCCTTTCTCACGGTGCGATCTTGTTTTCGTTTAGGCGCTTACGTCGCACTCCTTTTGTTACTTTGCATCCGCTCATGATTCTTTTCCTTAGCGTCTCTCACGGTATTATCGTCGACTGAATTTCCCACGTCATCAACATTACCTTACTTATGCCATAAGTTATCATAGGTCAATTGGCAGCACCACAAATGGTCTCCGACCGGACTCTTTCGTGGGTCGATTACGCGATTTTCGGTGCCAGTTTAAGCCTTTCAATTGGAACCGGTGTTTATCATGCTATTAGGTTAGTGGAATCTTTTCTTATACAAGTTTGTTACAAGTCTATCAATTTTCTTATAGTACTGACATTTCAGAAAGCGCTAATCTTATAACAGTGTGCAAAAGCGGTTCCTTCATGGTTGAAGCCAAGAAAATTTTGCCCCTAGTTGCGTTACATAATCTTGTAGGGTCTGAATGAGAGACACGTATTGTTAGTAGGTTATGTATAACCATATGTATAATTTAAGGAAGTGTGTTTATGGAAGGCGGAGGTAGGGTAGTGATAAGTGGCACCGGTCAGGCAACCGCGGCATGAGGATCGAATTACAGATCCCTCGCCGTCCAAAACAACCGAACCTTCTGTCCTTCCTTTGTCGATTAGCTGTGCCGGCCTCTGAATTTATAAAGACACTGAAAATGACATGGCACCATGTGCATCGGCTACCAGCTGAGCCCAGAAATGCCACTGTATGAATTACATTGAATTCAAAATGCCATTATGACTCTGTGTGGAAGCAGGATGCGTGGCGCATCCCAGATAGGGATAGACCAACATCGAAACTCAGGTAAAACAACACCCCCAGCAGTACGTGTTGAAGATCTATTTAGTGGGTTGGCAAGGGTAGCCCAGGAGCAGCACAAGTGTGCTCTTTTCGCGGCTCGAAAGTGCGCGACAATGCGCTAGGGTCTTACAAAGTCAGCATTTGGCGACTAATCTTAGCATTTGGACGAGTTACGTAGCGCACACCCCATGACACGCAACGTGGATTACGGCGTAGCGGCCAATTCAAATACGCGCGGGTTAGTTGAGCCGTGGAGCAGGCAAATTCGCACAACTCTGGCCGTTCCTTCCTTATTTCACGAGGGATCCTTGTTTTGGGCTGGTTGACCACGCTTGTTCGCGAGGAAGTGAAGCATACATGAATAATTGGCGAGTAAGCCTTGCATCTATATGTTCCACTATTCAGTCCAGTATATAACACATGCTATTTCAATCGCAACTCTGAATGAAGCTCTGCGCTTCGATTTTGCAGAGGTTTGCGGCTTATTTCAAGCCTTTAATCCATCCTTATAGGGCGAGTAGAAAGCGTCTTGACTGAATTGCTATTATGTCCAAGCCAGAGGAAGACTGTTTTCAAGCGGGATTTTCAAATCAACGCAATCCAATGTTATACATCATTCCAATTGATTGATATTACTATTATACTAGGTAATTGTGAATAAGAATCATTTGATAGATATAGTATTGGGTTGTCCAGAAAATCCTGCGACACTTTGTCCAAGATTTTGACTGTACCTTTTTGTTGAATGGGATATTCAATCAGCACGGTTATCACCGGTAGCACGTAGGAGACGTGTACTTTTTCTGGGCAACTTCTCAACCCTCTTTACTTTAGAAATCCGGCGTTTGCTTCGAAAAGAAGCGCTTCATCCAATTTTCGAGGTGACCTCAATCATTGGATTTTTTCTTACAGGTAGCGTTTCGGCTGTTCTTAACTAACGCCAAGAGTGGTAGACACGGAGTAAGCAGCGAGTTCAGCCAAGCACTGCAGTAATTCCCGATCAAAATCCACCGATACTTCTCTCATGTGACAATCCTTCGCCACATACAGATATGGGTTAGCGTGGGGTAACACCGTATTGAGAATTTCTGCGTGATTTGACGCATGCCTTCGGCCAAATTCCGAAGGTTGTTGAAGCCGACAGTGGGTCGATACCCTGGTGCAGGTGTCCAGCAGCTTTCTGTAGCGAATCAGTTTGCAACCTCATCAGAAACACTAAAAAGTCCCTCTTGACGAAGGCCTGCTTCCGTTCCTGTGGGTAGCTTTCCTCCTTGTCAAATCCAATAGTGCTTATGTGTATAGTTTAGTCAAGGCCAGAGCTATCTTCATTAGCCATCATTTTTGTCAAGAGATTCCTTTGATGCGAAAGAAGAAGAGAAATCTGAATCATGGTCACACGGTTCGCCTCCCCAGACTGGCGCAACCCATGTGGTGTCAATGGCGAACATACTGATCTGTAACCGAGATCGTGCAGATCCTCGACAATTGTCGAATGAATGCACATAAGCGTTGTTGTTAACCTACTACTGGTACCAACCGGCTGCGCCTCTTGGAAGTTGAGTAAACGCTTGTCAGTCATCGTCTACTGCCGTCCAGCTCCGTGCCCCATTTCGAACAAAATATCTCCAGTTGCGAGGGAACAAGGCCAACGGGACACCATGGCCTAGTGAATGACATCCCTCCTGACTACAGCACAGATGCTAGCTGCAAGGACACAAACGGGGTGGCTTTACAGGAGCTCGAAAAATAAAATAGGTCAAAAGATGTGTTGATTCAGAGACAAGTTTGAAACAGTTAAACGCCGCACGTAGCCTCCATTTACGCTTCTGCCGAAACCTCCGAAGATACACTGCAGCAATCAAATACCAAAACTACTGGAAAGAGTTTTGGTCTTTTCCTAAAGAACTTTGTTAAAAGTGTCGCAGGATTTTCTGGACAACCCAATATTACGTAGGTTGTCATAAAATAGTGTCGCTTTTTTCAAGCAAAATCTTTTTTTTATCTAAATCAGCCACGCTTTCACAGCGATTCAATACACCACTCGGAAGAGAATTGCCTACAAGATGTTGTGTTCTTCCACCATCTATGTTCCATGGTTTTCAAATTTTAGGCCTGCGAAATGGGAGGTCCAGCCGACAAAAATTGACCAAACCGACAACTATCTCTAACTTTATCTTCCCTTGGGAGAAATCAATCAATGATGTACCCTCTACTTATGCATGACCTCTTCTAAACATTACACTATTAGGTTTCCCAACAAGTCGCGTCATTCCATTTCCAGACCTGGTTTTTCAACCAGAACTCGACGGTCAAGCACCATTACCTGAGATCGAGGTCGAAATTTTTTTAGCCGAGACATTGAAAAACTAGTAGAATTTAAAGAACAAGTCATGACTAAGTTAGGAATGTACGCCTGGTTGATTTTCTCATCTTCTCAGGGATAATTTTTTCAAAGAAATGCGGTCACTTTCGTGGATAAAGCACCTTATTCCTAAACACCTAAAATTCGAACTAATTCTCCAACAATCATCAAAACAAAACAAAATATCGCGATAGAGCAGAATATTATATTTCCTCAGACAACTTGTTGTCGAAGTAAAAGATTTATTATATTTAACTGCGAATATCAATTACAGTGCTTTAGCGCGCCGTGCTGAGCTTCTCCTCAAGTTGATCTTGATCAAGTAGATCAATCAATAATTCAATTCGCGCGGGAATTCGCGCATGCCCCAAGCGTCCCTGTACCTTGCCATCTCATTCGTCTTGATGAGAGGAGGGTGTGGTTAAGCTCGCAACATCGTCCACAACTTTTTATTAGGTTAAGTGACGACGTGACAATTAACAAGTAACAATTAACGAGTCGTAAGGATAGTAAGGCATTCTTGTACGCTTTACTTCTTCGAAGCGTGCGTTTTCTTTGACCTGTGATCCTTAGGCTTTTTGCGTCTTTCGGCTTCTTTTTCTCTTCCATCCGAAGTCCTCTTGGATTTCCTGAAACCAACGAGGTGATATCTTCGATTGGAGTCAACATAAGGGGGGGGCAGCTAATTAGGGTGGGAGTGTAATTGATATTCGCAGTTAAATATAATAAATATTTTACTTCGACAACAAGTTGTCTAGGAAAATATAATATTATATTACACTGCTACTATCAATTACAGTGCTTTTTCAACACACCTATTCGAAGAGAGCACCGAGTTCTGAAACGTTTGTTGTGATGGACCTTTGTAATAAAACTTTTCAAAGGTGGTTCCATTAGGTGCCCAATTCGCAGCTTCCATTATGGCCTTTGAAGAGAGACCCTGTCTTTTGGAAGATGTTGTGCTTGCCGCCCTGGTTGAGTGTGCCTTGAATCGGTCATCTATTCCCGAGTTTTTGAGCACTTCTCGAAGCCAGCGAGCTATGGTTGTGGACGAGACACTTCGGTGTGGGCTATTTGTACTTAGGAATAATGTCCGCGCTTGGTGACGGTATAAGATAGTGCGGTTTATATAATCTTTAATCGTCACAAGGGGACATAGGAGGACATCTTCATTGTAGGCGTGCACTACTGCTGTGTGTGCTTTCCCAAATCCTCTATTCTTGTTGACGAAATCGAGGGAGAAAACCCATGAGTTTTCGCCTAATTGAACAGAATCCAACGATAATGCTGCTAGTTCGGAAACCCGTTTGGGGGCCACTAGGGCTAATAGCATTACCGTTTTTTGAGTGAGCTGTTTTAGGCTCAGCGATGCATTAGGTCCCAAGGATCTCAGGTAATCAAGCACCACTGATACGTCCCATATGTCAACGTATCTAGCCCGAGGGGGTCTCTGTCGGTAAAACCCTTTCATGCATCTACTTATAAGAGTCATGTCTTGTCTCGTTGGAGATCCCCGTTAATCGTTGAAAGATATAACGATGTAGAGCCGATTTATGAAGTGCTGCCTAATTTTGAATAACTGTCCTAGAAAGTTTAAGATGTCTTCCACTTTGGGGTGCAGCCTGTCTATCCTTCTGATCTTGCAGAAGGTTGCCCATTTTTTTAAGGCACTATCGTATTGTTTAATGGTTGCGCGGGACCAGTTCGACATTATAGAATGCACGACTATTTCATCAAGGCCTCCGTCTCGCCAGAACTCACCTAGATGGTGCATGCTATCAAACGAAACCTGGGAGATCTGAGGCATGGGTGTGGAGAACCGCTCGAATCCTTCAATAGATTCTGATTCGAGATTAGTGGTGTGATCTCCTTGCCGTGCTCCATTATGAGAGGCCACCAACTCTGATTTTCCCACTTCGGGCACACTAAAATTAAGCGTGCCCTTTCTCTCAGAGCTTTTTTGATCGTTCTTCCCACTAAATTGAATGGCGGAAATGCGTAACCGTAAGTCTCCGACCACTTTTGAGCGAAGGCGTCTGTGCCAAGTGCACCTGGGTCTGGAAAAAATGAGTAATACTTCTGACATTTGTTATTCCATCTGGAGGCAAATAGGTCTATCTCCGGTGTTCCCCATTTGGTAAAGAGTGACTTTACCGTTCTTTCTTCAAGAGAGTAATCAGAAGAGTCTAGAGATTTTCTAGAGAGGAAGTCGCGCTTCTCTGTTTTGTGCACCTGGCTGGTATGACGCTATCAGATGTAGACGGCGTTTTTGAGCCCATAACCACAACAGTCGTGTAAGTTTGTTTAAACGTGCGCTTTTAGTGCCTCCCTTCTTATTTATGTACCAGACCGCCGTGGTATTGTCTAATTGTACGCGAATTGTGAGATTACGCAGTTCATCTGCAAAACAGCGTAATCCCAGTATGCACGCCGTCAATTCTTTTTCATTTATGTGCCACTCTGACTCGGAAGGTTTCCATCTCCCACTTGTGCTTCCCTTTTCGCATATTGCGCCCCACCCAACGTTTGATGCGTCCGTTGTGATGGTGAGCGACTCGTTTTTGTGCAAAATAGGTTCATGAGCCATCTTATCCAGATTCCTTGACAACCACTTGAGGTCGTGAAGGCAAGCTGGTGGGAGGTTGCTCATAGTTTTTTGGTAATCATTCGCATCCTTTAGATGGAACCTTCCTAGCCAAGACTGAAGCGGTCGCAGGAACAGGATAGGAATGCTTGCTGCCATGTTGACTGCGTTCACCTGTCCAATGAATCGAGCTATATCGCGTAGGGTGACTCTTCGACGTTTTCGAATCCTTCGGGCAGTATTGCAAATACTTGTTATCTTGCGCTCTGGGACTGATAGCTCAAAGGTCTTTGAGTTGATAGTCACACCCAGAAACTCTATTATTTGCGACGGTTCTAGCTGCGATTTGCTCTCGTTTACGGTTAGACCTAGTTTTTTGAAAAGATGTATAATCAGGTTGATTTTTGCTACCAGAGAGGCCTTTTCATTATCAATGAATAGCCAATCATCCAGGTACACAATCAACCGTATCCCACATCTTCGCAGTTCTGAAGCGATAACCCTCATTAATCTAGTGTAGACATATGGAGCTGAGGATAATCCAAAGGGTAGTGCCTTGAACTGGAAGAGTTTTCCGCCGCAGTAAAAGGCCAAGTATTTGCGGTAGTTGCTATGTATAGGCACAGAGAAATAAGCGTCTTTCATGTCGATCTTTGCCATGAAATCATTTCTCTCTAGAAGATCCCTGATCAAGCCAATGGATTCCAGTTTGAAATGGTGGTGTTTTATGAATTTGTTAAGTGGTCTCAGATTGATTACGGTTCTATTTCCGCCATCCTTTTTGGGAATAACGAATATACTGGAGGTCCAAACTTTTGAAGACCAGGGTATTTCTTCAACGGCCCCTTTCTCTAGCAGTTTTGAGACTTCAGCAATGAGAAGGTCAGAAAGCGAGGCAGATCTCTTTTCATGCAAGGAGCATCGGGGTTTCTCATCGCCAAACTCGAGCTTGTACCCCTGTATTGTTTCTAAAACCCATGGGTCTCTGGTGAGACGTGCCCAATTTTTTTGGAAAAGCGCCAGTCTGCCTGCCCGAACTTGAAGTTCGTTATGGGGAACATCCTGCTCACTTACGTGAATAGCAAAATGATTTTCTAACCTCTCTTTTTTTGATGAAAACGTCTTCATCCTTTTTCCATTGCTGTGCGTCCTCTTGGACTTTGCTTCCTTCACCAGGGCTTCCGTGAGCTTTCTGCATTGGGACTTCTCCACTATTTCAGTCGTGAGTTTGGGGCCTATGAGCGCCGGACAGACTTCGTTCCAAGGAAGATCTGCTGAGCGAATAGGCTCCTCGACTGGAAATCGGTGAAAATTGTGCACTATTTCAACGGCTCGACTCCGAATGACCTGAAATATGGTAAGGTGGGAATGAGCGATTGTGAATGAGTAAGGTCATGAGCCCTGATGACTTACCTTAGGAATCTTTCTCTTCTTCGTGTCACATTCGCTTCGACACCAAAGGAGAGCACTTCCATGGCTTGCTCTATGTAAAGATCTGCGCGTTGGGAGCGACCCGCCCGACTCTCGCTCCGAGCAATAGCCATTAGATTGAGGGCGTTTAGCAGCACTTCAGCGTCCGCCATCAGCGAAGATTCATCGACTTGAATTCTGAAGCAATTGAGTTCATTGACCTTCATTGTGGTGAAGAGAAGTCTGGATAAAACCTCACCTGAATGATTTTCTTGGTAAGCCTTCATCCAAAACCGGGGGAGCTGCCAAACCCGACGATACCAGAGGAAGGCGGTCGAAGAAGCTCAATCTATCCTCGGTGCCTACGTAGACCCCTGCTGCACACTTGTTGAAGTGATCCAGAAGTTTTTGGTCGATTTCGACTCTTGTCCGGAGCTTCTTGTACTCCATTCGGGCGATTTCTGGCGCTTCCTTGACTGCGCCTGCGAAGTCGATTCTTCTGGGAATACGGATGGCTTCCAAAGGAGATTCGGTGCTGAATCCTTTTTTCCGCGATTCCTCCTTCCGGTGGCGCGGGTTGTTGCCGTCCGAGTTGTCCTCCGAATACGACGATGTCGAGGTAGAACTTGACGAGCTGTAACAAGACGATTCCGAAGAGGTGGAGTCCTTTCTTCTTTTCCTCGTGTTCTCCACTTCGTTTTCCTTGGAGTCCCGCAATGTTGTGGGACAAGAGCTTTCCTGGATTGGTGTTCCTCTTTCCCTAATGTGCCTTCCTATATGCCACGCGGGTCTAAATGAACGGTACTGAACACAAGTACCACGAATATTTATTATAGAATACGAATAGACTACGCCACGCACTCGTCTGTAGCTTCGCACTCAAGCGCCGTGCTCGAGAGTCGCTCCTTTATTGATAGGTGGACGAGGTCCTGTATTGCGAGGGGGCTCTCCTAGATTGGACGAGGAGTCGACGGCACAGTCCAAGCCTTGCGAGGGGGCTCTCCTAGATTGGACGAGGAGTCGACGGCACAGTCCAAGCCTTGATCAGCGAACGGAGGCAAAAAACCATTGCTCATTCAGGCGCGGCTCTTTTATACGGTAGCGGATGACGGCGGCGTGGGCTCGGTATGTAATCATATCCTGTAAGCGCTCAAGATCAGCCAGAAGATAACAAATATGAAAATGAATTATTGATTGAATAGAAGTAAAAGATAAAAAATAAGCAAGTAAACTTCAAACCTTTGGTGGCGCTAGCTACAAGGGGATGGGGGGGGGGGGGGGGGGGGGGGGGGGGGGGGGGGGGGGGGGGGGGGGGGGGGGGGGGGGGGGGGGGGGGGGGGGGGGGGGGGGGGGGGGGGGGGGGGGGGGGGGGGGGGGGGGGGGGGGGGGGGGGGGGGGGGGGGGGGGGGGGGGGGGGGGGGGGGGGGGGGGGGGGGGGGGGGGGGGGGGGGGGGGGGTGGGGGGGGGGGGGGGGGGGGGGGGGGGGGGGGGGGGGGGGGGGGGGGGGGGGGGGGGGGGGGGGGGGGGGGGGGGGGGGGGGGGGTGGGGGGGGGGGGGGGGGGGGGGGGGGTGGGTGGGGGGGGGGGGGGGGGGGGGGGGGGGGGGGGGGGGGGGGGGGGGGGGGGGGGGGGGGGGGGGGGGGGGGGGGGGGGGGGGGGGGGGGGGGGGGGTGGGGGGGGGGGGGGGGGTGGGGGGGGGGGGGGGGGGGGGGGGGGGGGGGGGGGGGGGGGGGGGGGGGGGGGGGGGGGGGGGGGGGGGGGGGGGGGGGGGGGGGGGGGGGGGGGGGGGGGGGGGGGGGGGGGGGGGGGGGGGGGGGGGGGGGGGGGGGGGGGGGGGGGGGGGGGGGGGGGGGGGGGGGGGGGGGGGGGGGGGGGGGGGGGGGGGGGGGGGGGGGGGGGGGGGGGGGGGGGGGGGGGGGGGGGGGGGGGGGGGGGGGGGGGGGGGGGGGGGGGGGGGGGGGGGGGGGGGGGGGGGGGGGGGGGGGGGGGGGGGGGGGGGGGGGGGGGGGGGGGGTGGGGGGGGGGGGGGGGGGGGGGGGGGGGGGGGGGGGGGGGTGGGGGGGGGGGGGGGGGGGGGGGGGGGGGGGGGGGGGGGGGGGGGGGGGGGGGGGGGGGGGGGGGGGGGGGGGGGGGGGGGGGTGGGGGGGGGGGGGGGGGGGGGGGGGGGGGGGGGGGGGGGGGGGGGGGGGGGGGGGGGGGGGGGGGGGGGGGGGGGGGGGGGGGGGGGGGGGGGGGGGGGGGGGGGGGGGGGGGGGGGGGGGGGGGGGGGGGGGGGGGGGGGGGGGGGGGGGGGGGGGGGGGGGGGGGGGGGGGGGGGGGGGGGGGGGGGGGGGGGGGGGGAGTTTCCTTCTCCAGTGCTCGCCAGTTCGCTGTCCTCTAAAGAGGAGGACATCTGGAATTATAATTGTAAAATAATAGCTAATCCAATTGAAATGTTTAACGAGCGAATGGAGCTAATTGTACATTCACCGCAATGTGATGGCTCCCACACGGTATCAGTCCGCGATCTGCGGTGCTCTACTGGCCTCCGCTGGGAACCAAGGCTAGCGCACTACTGGCGCTGCCAAGGATCGAGTACAGGAGTTCTAGTGACTCCTGGAATGCCCCAGCAACTCGCTGACTGTACCGATGAAGCAACGAGGAGGGGGGTGGTTGTGAAAAAAAGAGGTGGAGATGGAGAGTGGAGACGAGCGTCTCCGGTGCTCAAGCAAGACGAATGAGATGGCAAGGTACAGGGACGCTTGGGGCATGCGCGAATTCCCGCGCGAATTGAATTATTGATTGATCTACTTGATCAAGATCAACTTGAGGAGAAGCTCAGCACGGCGCGCTAAAGCACTGTAATTGATAGTAGCAGTTAATATAAGAAGTGCTCTAAAGGAACACCACTCGATATGAAACAATGGCGTTTACGAGGAACAATTTTAATTTGAAAATTGCTATGGCTTATCGGTCAGCCAATTCGAAAAGAAACAGGCAAACCTTTTTCGGCAACCTAAGGGTGGAATGTTCAGAAGAGGTCATGAGTAAGTAGAGGGTACATCATTGATTGATTTCTCCCAAGGGAAAATAAAGTTAGAGCTAGTTGTCGGTTTGGTCAATTTTTGTCGGCTGGACCTCCCATTTCGCAGGCCTAAAATTTGAAAACCCTGGAACATAGGTGGAAGAAGAACACAGCATCTTGTAGAGCAGACAATTCTCTTTCGAATGGTATATGACGATGTAAAAGCATGGGGATTTAGATGAAAATTTTTTGGTTGAAAAAAAGCGACACTATTTATGAGACAACCTAATACATTACTGGGTCTATAAATTGTTCTAGCAGTTTTGATTAATTGATTAAGTGGAGGATGGAATTTTATGGGCGATGTGTTTGAATAGCCTAGAGCATATGTCGAACAGAAACCAGGAGAGCTACATATTTGTAGGCAAGACTTGATTCGTTGTATGGATCGACCACGAGTGTCACATTTGGTGATTTTTTGAACATTTGATAATTATGCCTTAGAAATAGACCCAATGGCAATTAGATGGCGGGGATTTCTACAATTCATGAATCGACAATGATAGTCGAGACGATTTATGCACTTTACACTGCGCCTTGTCACGCACGCTGAATAATCAGAGCAGCTGTTCCCGCTGGAGATCAAAGGAAATAATGTTGTTGCTCATCCGGTTCACTTTCTACTTCACGGAGGGATTTGGTTGATGACTTAGACTAAGCCTTTAACACGTTGACGACATCGCGTGTTTTGGCATTTTTCGCCGCGTGGGACAGGAGCGATTTTGCGAGCGCGCCGTCCTCACCTTACTTACGCTTATTTTCTGTTTAAAATGCCCAAAATTTGAATCTCACGCAATTATTTCGGCAAGGATGAAAGCGTAGAGGTCACCTATATAGATACCAGTAGAAGTTTGTTTAGAAGAACCATAATGATCACGAAGAAGCAAAAAATCCACTTTCGCTACGAATGAAGTAAAAGCATTTATACCTTAGTTTTTCCATCAAATACAATTATTTGAAACTCACAGAGTTTTGTATTAACTTCTTCTACAATCTTTCATATGAATGTTTACGACAGTGAAAGGAAAACTAGGAAAGAATTGAAATGAAAATTTTGTGCGTTCAGAAAATCTTTGCTAAATCAAGGATATTTGACCACTCTGGCTGCCATGTGGTTTATAGTTATGCTAATGTATTATCTATAGAATGAATACAAAAAACTCGAGAGAGGAGCGCAAGCACCACAAAAATGGGTGACATGTTTCTGACGCGCATGCGCGTCAGAATGCCGATGCGGTGCCAAATTTCTGAGGTGCATGCAGCCGTCGTCAACGATGTTACCGTTTCCTCTGCGGCACGTTTGGTGCATGGTATTTGCACGAACCGGCATTTGTGCTTGGTTTCACCGGGGAGCTCTAATCCTTTGAGCTCTACCGGTAATGTGCCTTCCCGCGTAGTCAAGGTGTGCCTAATATAAATTTTAAAAGCTTTTTTTGAGACAGCCTGCTCCCTGTGGAGATTTCTATGGAGTGCATTAAGACGAGCGGATATTCTTTGCTGTACCGCCAGTTCTTCACTCATAGCAATTCCTAGCGCAGGGCGCTGGCCAATGTTTATAGCTTCGAAAAATGTAATTTTCAAGACCCTTGCACAAGCTCTTTTTGATTAGTAATGGTCTGATGTCAGCTTAGATTATTATGTCAGATCTGAATATAAGAAATCTGAGGTAATGCGAAAAAGCTTGTAATCGCGATGTTAGTTGAGGTGCACGTTGGATCAAGATGTTTGGTTGCAAGGTAAACCGATAGCGGAGCTCCATTCCACTGCGTGGCTGTATTTAATGGTACGGGATAACCGAAAGCAAGAATGGACACTCGACCAGACGGACACTGTTCTTAATTCAGGAGTAGCCCATGTTAAAATAGCGAGAGCCACGGACAGCGGCTCCTCTAGATGCACCCGTTATGCGAGTTTCACAAGAATGCTGGGTTGTGAACAAAACTTTCGCCCCAGGCGGGACTAGAACCCGCACCTCTCGCTTTCCGGGCAAGTGCGCTACCAGTTACGCTACCGGGGCACCATTTCATTCCAACTCAGCTTTTCATGGTATACGTACCATAGCAAATAGGATTTGTTGAACCAAGTTGATGGAGTGCGTCTATACTTTTGATACAGGCAAAATAATTCCATGTTAGAAAAATCCGAATTCCTTCCAATTCACGTGGAAGCTGGTAAACATAGGTTTTCGTGCATGCTGATTCAGATGGTGATAAGCCTGTTTGTCGGGAACTTCTATGAAAGTCAGCTGTGGTACTTCCAGGGGTGCGTCTATACTTATGATACGCACTGTAGTAAGGTGGTGGTTTACAGGCGATAACAGGAATCGGTCCTCAGAAAAGAACCATGGTGCAGAGTATAAATGGGTTGGTTACAGAAACAATCCAAGA